GATGGTAGCTGTCATGTTAACATATAGATTGAAAACTGGATTTCTAGAGACGTGTCCGGAACATGGGACGGTACAATATATGTTATTATAAAAGTAGAGGAAAGTTTTTGTCCAGTGCCTTTCTACTTGTAAAATGACATATAGTGTATATCCCTATGTTCTTGACGCACTGAAAATCTCTCGGATTTCTATCAACCAACCTCATTATTGAACAGAATTCACAAATCCAATTACTATCAGCAAATCACATTTACTAGGGTAATAATAATAAATCACATTTACTAGGGTAATAATAAATCATTATTTCTCTGAATAAAAGTAAGAACTAAGCTCCAACGGATTGACAAGGCCACCATCTTTGAAGCAAGGCCTGAACCATCGTTCTCCTCTAACAAACAAAACCTCTTTATTACAAAAATACGAGCTCCTATCCGAAAATTAGTACCCCGAATTCAAAGAGTACATCTGTTTCAGCTATTCAGATAAGACTCCCACCTAATTTACATGTGAATTCTGCAAATTCATGTCGACGCAACTGCAATCAAGCACTTTTTAGTCTGCCCATTGTGAGCAATAGAGACCTTCTGATTGAAAGTAGAAGAACCCAAGTAGCGGCGGAGATCTTTTCCTTGATCATCAGAAGCAATGCCGAGCTCAGGACGGTCTTCAAGATCTGTGCATGCAATCCCTTGAAGAAGCCAAGAATCCCTTCCCTTTTCCATATAGCGCATAGAACTGCTGGAATTGTTTTGCTGGACTTTGGCTGGGGGTTTTTGGTTTTTCCATCATCTTCGTCAGCAGCTTGGATCATGACCTTACACCTGCAGGAAGTACATATGTCAACTGATTCCATAGGTCAAGCTTGTAAATGAGATGGTTTTGAGAGCAATTATGTACCTGATGGCAGGGTAGGTCAGAACGGTGGCAACAGTCTTTGAGACTGCACCTAAAACAAATGCTGTGAAAGCAGAAAGGGCTTCTGGAGAAGAATCCTTGCCCGTTTTATTCTTCCTTTTCAGGAGTCTGAGTTTTAGCTGATCGAACACTGTATACTGAAGTACGAAACAATTTTCAGTTTCAACCTCAATTATCATCTTAACATATTTTGAGTGAAGGTAATAAGAATATAACATGCAGTAAAACTTAAATTGTAGAGAACAGAATCAGTAATTTCAGATAAAAAATGCAAAGACAACTACCTGAATTGCAGGGTTCGCGGTCAGCAACAGGGAGATTCCGAGACCATCAAATGCATCAATCCAGCTGCCCTCTGTAAGAGTCTTCCACAATCCTTTGGATTTTCCAAAAGCACTTGTCTGCATCCTTGACGAGGCTGTATCCAACGGCTAGACAGCAGTAAAACAGACGGTCATTAAAAAAATCCATATGCTTCCAATTCTTCATTCACAGTCAGAATAGAACCTAAAGTGCGGAGGACTTTACGCAAAATGTTCACCTGAGTTACAATGGCAGTGCAAGCACCAGCAGCAGCAGCAAGAACTAAGTTTGCTCTCATCCCTATCGATTTAACCCCACTTGTTTCCACATAGAGTCTTTTGAAGTAGCTATACCCATAAAAGTAAATAAACTGAGAAATGAAGGATTGCAGGTTTTTTGTTTCGAGACCCTGATACAGTGAAAGAACCTGACGTGTGGATATCGCTTCCCAAAACACATCCGAAAGGTTCCTATACAAGCCGTTCACCAAAGAAATTAGTGAGCTATATACCATAAAATTATATGATTGCTGACTCAAACAATATACATTACCACAAAAGCTATTTTCCGCTAGCGGTAGAGAAAATAATAAATGAACCTGATAGAATCACGGTGAACTATACCAAAAAAAAAAAAAAAAAAAAAAGTAAAGCTTCATATATGCACATATGATCACCGCATAAAATTTCAAGTGCGAAAGTCTTAACAGTTGGGTTGCAACATTCTGGCACTAACCAGACAATCTCGGATACCTGCCGATAAGAACTTACCTTCAACTCAAATGCCACTGTGGCGGTGGCAGTATCCCAACCAACACTGCCATGTGTTTTTAACTTTTGAACATGGCAGTGCTCGATTGATTTGGGATACTACGCCACAGTGGCATCCCGTTTAATTTATCATTTTCCAATCTCCAAACTTTGTAGAATACATTTTTATTTATGATAAAAACCGTAACAATTTGAGACCAGACGCAACTTAAAAACCCGAAAACGATAGCTGAATTGCATTTAAAAGTTAGCAAGTTACCACCTTGAGAAAAAATCCGATGCGACTCGCAACCCAATTTTGTTTATCCCATAAAACTTCCAAAATCCATCTCAATTATCCGCTAATCTAAAAGATTACTCACAAATCACCAATCATATTCTCCAACATTAACAACATATCAATCCTAAACAGTAAATACCACCTACCGACTAAAAAAAATACGCACAAATTCTCACAAAAAACAAATAATTATGCCCAATTGAGCTGAAAAACCCATCACAGAACGATGATCGAAAGAAATAAACCGACCCAGATGAAAAAATGGTTACCTGTATTTGGCCCGATCATTGCCTCGAACTTCGGCTTGGTACCTGGTTTTGCAGGTGTCGAGCGGGTACAGCAGGGTGGTGCTGACGAGTGATCCAACGGCTCCTGACGTCGCCTCCGATATGGATTCCAGATCAAGATCAAGACCCATCCTCTCTGAATTTTTATTTTTTGGTAAACCGGGACGTTAGATATAAAATTATTTGTATATATATATATACGTGTTGAATTTGGAAGCTTCCGATGTGGAGGAGTAGGAAGAGAAGTGACGGAAGCGTAGAGGTGGATCGATACGGTGTCGTTTAGTTGGGATTTGAAAATTTGTGGTTGTTTTCAACGTGTTTTTTTTTCTCGGTCGTGGTCCGCCACCGGCTGCATTTTCCCACTCTGATAACCTCATTTCTCACCAACTTATGTAACTTTCCATAACAGCATCCTAAATGTCCAATATGCCCCAAATATGTAGAGATTTTTCAGGGTACTTGAATAACGAGTCTCGTTTACTTATATTGTAATAACATGTAATGTACCGTTTTGTATTTTTTTTTTTTTTCAGGCTAGTGCATGAAAAAATCTCTCTTCTAATATGAACTTCATTAATGCCAAGGGTGCTCATTTGTCAGTTTTCTTGGAATTTGGAGTTGTTATGTAATGAAAACGAGAAATGCTAAGGATGCTCTCTCAATATCGAACTCTTCATAAAAAAAATTTATCACCTCATGGTTTTGACATAATGGTTTATAATGTTGGCATGAAAATTAATGTTAAATTGTAAGGTGATAGAGTTTATGGAGAGTCACTTTTGAGAGCGTCTCATTAACATTTCTCAATGAAAAATGTATTGGAACTTGGAGTGTAATAGTATACATGTACATATTTATTCTTTAAAAAATACTTCTATTTGTTTACGAGTCTTAATGATTAAATAGATATTGGGTCTAATTCGGAAGGGTCACATGAGTTGGGACGTCATAATGACAATAAACTCATTTCATATAAGTTGTTTTCTTAATTTTAGAATTGAAATAAAAAGGCTGTGTTTGGCACGAGAAAAAGAATTCATAATAAATGATTTCTCATATGTACTTTGGAGGAGGGAAATGTAAATTTTCTTTCTCTTGGTTGGAAACGATGGGAAACTGGGTAGGAAATACTACTTTTTGGGGATATATCATAAATGGGCCTTTTTTGAGGAAGTTTTAACGAAACAATCATAGTATTATTTACTTTTAACGAAAATGACATTTTTATATTTTTACTTTAAAAAGTCACTCATGGTACTATTTACTTACTACACATTTTTGTCCTTTTGATTAAAACTCAAAGTTTTCAAGTCATTTTCATTAGTTTATTTATTTATTATTAATGTCAATGAAGACATATTTGTCATAAAAATTGACAATCAATGCCTATTTTGGAGGAAGGAAAGTGAATATCAAGGCGGAGGGAGGTTGAATTCTTGCATGACGGTGTGAGTTCAAATCTCGTCGGTGGCTAATCTAACATCTAATCTAATAAAATTTATCATTTGAAAAAAAAAAAAAGACTATTTTTCATGCCTATGACTTACCAAACATGGAAAAGGCAACAACTTGCTTTTTCCCTCACATGTACCAAACGTAGTCTAAGAAATACGAACTAGAGATGGGTGTAGAGTAAGAATTGAAACCAACCAACTTTTTGAAGAAAAGTAAGAGGTTGCTGTCACCTAAATTTAGAGAGAGGGAGGGAGGGAGGGGGGGGGGGGGGGGGAGCCTAGAGAAAATATGAAGAAAGGCTTGATGAATTTTGATATGTGATTCCTCACACCTAGTGTCTTTATTATATAGTAATAAGGTTTTTTTTTTAATCACAAATGATCTCTGAAATTGACATTCACTATCAAGATGATTCTTGAAATTGAAAATCAATCAATGTAGTCCCTAAAAATAAGTGTCATAAATCAATGTGGTCATTTTGTTACAATTCTGTTAAAAATTCCATTAAGTGCTGATGTAACATATAAATGGGTCTCATAAGTCTTTTTTTTTTCTTCTCACAAATGGTCATTGAAATTGACCCGTGACATCAAAATGGTTCCTGAAATTGACCTACAACATCAAAATGGTCATTGAAATTGAAAATCGATCAATGTAGTCTTACAAGTAAGTGTCATAAATCAATGTAGTCGTTCAGTCATAATTTTGTCAAAAATTATATTATGTGCTGATGTGACACATAAATGGATCATACAAGTCTAATTAAATTTAAAAAATTACAAATATGTTTAATAATTTAATAGTTAGAAAAAAGTTGTGAACCCAAAAACCTAGTTCTGCAATAACCTCCAATCTCAGTCCACATTCCTCTACCTTTTTCACTGTCTATTCTAAAAAAAATATATCAATACACCCATCTTTACACACGTCTACATTTAGGCAACCAACATCCTCACAACTTTAATCTTTGAGAGCTTATTCGGCGTTTTCTTGGTGGTTTGCCATGAGATAATGAGGTTATAACCGAGTTGCTCTATTGTTGGTTGAAAACTATTTCCAAACCCCCTCTTAGGCCTTAGTTAAGTATTGTGCCATTTAGAATTTATGGAAGGGATCTTTATTCGAAGTATTTAAACAAAAAGGTATTTAAACAACTTTTTAAATTAATTATTAAATCCACATCAGCACATACAATTTTTTTTACGAAATTGTGGCGGAATGATCATATTGATTTGCGACATTTATTTTCAAGGACTACATTCATCAATTTTCAATTTTAGGGACCATCTTGATAGTGTGAGTCAATTTTAGGGACCATCTTGATGGTGTGAGTCAATTTCAGGGACCATTTGTGATAAAACCCGTAAATCTTGTGGGGCCCATTTATGTGCCACATCAACACTTAACGGAATTTTTAACAGAATTGTAACGGAATGACCACATTGTTTTGTGACACCTATTTTTAGGGACTACATTAATTAATTTTCAATTTTAGAGACCATCCTGATGGTGAGGGTAAATTTCATGGACCATTTGTATTAAAACCCTAATAATAAATAATTAGCGAATAACTTACTCTCCAAGTAATACAAAGTCTAGAAGTAAATATTTATAGATCTCTAATAAATCCTAATTTATCTCTACATAGGATTTACAAAAAGGCTTAGGATTTACAAAAATGTTTTTTATATTAGCACCCTACAAAATATTGAATGCACCCCACATTAAAATTTAATATTAAATAACTTATTTACCCAACTATGCAATGACAATTTTGACCTTATTAGGTTTAAAAAAAATAAAAATTTATAAATACAACCCAAATCACTTTTAGCATATTATTTATCTTCTCAACTATCAAAACCCTCCCACCCTCTATTGTTGAACAACATCCTAATCAATGAAACTACAAACATGCTGATTGAGAAAAATTATTTATGACGAATGGAACACAAAATCGATGTTTCGGAAGCTTCACATGAGGTAAGACTTCATATTTTCATTGTTTTAGTGATTTCGATGATATCGATAATTATTTAATCTTGCGTTTGTTGCGTTATTTAAACTTCTATATTCATATTCATTTGCGAGTCACAGATCGATACGCAATCAGATTTTAACCTAAAACACGGACTGAACTCAATAGTTGTACAAAATTACAATCAAATCGGAAACTCACCATTCGGCAGCTGATTGGGATCATACTCGTAAACATCAACCTCTTTTATAAGATCGTAGGTAGGCATTGCGACTACACGTGACTTGTAAGATTTTCCTTTAAGAAATTAAATTGTAAATAATCTGAACTACCTGTGACTTGTAAGATTTTCTTTTAGGTTTGACAGATAACTTAAATCTAATTTATATGTGCAAATAATGAATAATTTATTTGTTTTTTTCTTATACTTTTCGCGTAATATTCATGTGAAAAATATCACAACTTCAACTCAATAAAAAACAAAGTAGGATGATACAAATAAATCCTTCCAGATTTAGCAATGTCTAGCTGATAACAGTCTTGATATTCCCCTTCCATCAACACCCTGGTTGTGTCATGATAACTCTTCCTATTCTATCCTGCAAAAATAGAAGATTTTTTTTTTTTTTTCAATTTGAGCTTTACTCTGCATCGTGTTAGTACTAGTCTACTCGTGTTTATGAGACTTGTATATTTATTGATATTATGCTCTAAAGTATGAAATCAACGTCAACCATGTTATGATATATATGTAGATAAGTATCACTACATGACAATGTTACGATCGTGTCTAATGGATTATACAGGTTAACACAATTAAACTCGTATGGAGAAACATCACCTTTCCAAAAGTGTCATGGTCCCAAACTTCAACCATTAACATTTCATGCAATGCATCCTCCACCATGAAGTCAAATGTTTGATTCCAAACTGGATTCAAATTCTTCATTACAACCTGAAAAAGCATAAGACAATGATAAATTGAAATTAAGAAACAATTCTGAATTGAAGACAAGGACAATGACGCAGTTGATATTTTCTGTCACGGTTTGAAGGCAAGGTTTATTTTTTAATGGTATCTAGCGGGCATGCAAAGCAACCTTGATAAATATTTGTGCTAATTCCCCAAGCCATTCCTTACTTTATACAAGCTTACTTGGCCACCAAGCTTAGAACCCCTCACATAAATCACGATCCTATTTAAGTTGGTGACAATGAACATGTATCATCAATTAACAACACTCATACAAATAATTAAGTTTAATCAACTCAGAAGGTATGTATGGAAAGCCGGGATTAGTGTATTCGTCCGATTCTAATGACAATGGTGAAATCCGCGATGCAAAGCTATTCGGACGTGAGAGGCCGATTCATCATGTTTTTAGAAGCGGAAAAGGTATGTAATGTTCATTTAAACTGGCATGCATGCTAAAATCCTAATTGGTGATCTGCTAATTACCCTTAGTCATATGGCGATGAATTGAACATGAGAGATCATAAAGAGAAATGTGGCATGCAAGCCACTCCTTACTTTATATAAGATTTGAGAAATGTGGCGATGAATCTGCTAAACTCAGAAAGTATAGCAAATTCATCGCCATATGATCCTTCAGTTTAGAAAGATCGTAGATTAGTAATTAATCGCATTATCTTGTAGTTGCTAATAAAAAAAGCCTTATAAGATTTGAAATGTGGGGTGTGGGGTGTATTATATATGTGAGGTTTATTCAACAATTTGCGGGGTGTTAGTATAATAAGCCTTTACAAAATCACACTATATTATATATTAATTACAATAGATATTTCATTCATCGAGAAAATGATATTACAAATACATATCATGAAGAACTCAACCTTAAAAAGGTCCTTACAAACTAGATTTAAGATAGGCTGATACTAGAAAGAGATCATATTTTTAGATCATATTTTATAAACCACATGAAGTGTTGTTGCTGATCGTCAATCCTAAAACACAGTGAGCTGAATATTAAAACTTAACAACTAATAATTAGTGAATTGTTACTAGCATTTCAACATGTTCATTATTTTGGCGCGATTGTCAATCAAAAGCTTGTTTAGGGAACCAGTAAGCTCCATTAAATGACTCGATGAAACGACATAGACATGCGTTCCGCCATATCGAAACTTCTAGGTTTGCTTGGCAAAAAACGACACACACAACACACAACTCAGCTCGCATAATTACTAATAGGCCACCGTGGCCTATGTGTCTCTGCCGCGCCAAAAAAAAAAAAAGAAAGGTAAAAATACGAAGCCGAAGAAGTACTTCTTCCTATGAAACTTCCGCACACTTCCTCTCTCTAACGAAGCCGCCACAGCAACAGCTGCCGCCGCCGCGGCCGCCCGATCAGCTAGGGCTCTGGTGGGTTTTATCGAATCTTCTCCGACGAAGAAAGAGTTTTCAAAGCCCCTAGCCTAATCCCCATTACTTAGGTAATTTACTATTTTCGTGCCATCGCTTCCATCACAACCCCTCTCTGTGCACTTCCACTTCTTCAGTACGCTGACGCTCTTCGAATCTACTGTCGTTTGTATTTCTCGGTTGATTGAAATCTCTGCGCGTGAAAAGCGAAGTTATTTACGGTTTTGCCATTGCATCAGTCGCTGGCTTAAGCCAAAAGCTTGATGGAATCTGTGGCTGATTGAAAGATAGGAAAAGTTTGATTCGTGTTTGCCACTAATCGTTTGAATATTTTCTGGTTTTGCCACATCTGTTGATAGTTTCTATTGAGCGATTACGGTTTTGGGTTTTGGTCTGCAGTTTCCATGGCCAAAGTTGCAGCAGGAAACGATCACCCTGTTGGCCAAACCGCAGTCCGAATTGTTGTGGCCGGAGACCGTGGCACCGGGAAATCCAGCTTGATTGTGACTGCTGCCACCGAGAACTTCCCGGCAAATGTGCCTCCGGTGCTGCCCCCTACAAGGCTGCCTGAAGATTTCTACCCTGAACGCGTTCCCATCACCCTTATCGACACATCATCTCGGTATGAATTCTGTAGTTGACATAGGAAATGATCTGTTTATTTGCTGATGCGGTTTGAAATGTAGATGTTGCATTGTATGTGGGTTTAAAGATTTTACATGGTTTTGGTTGTGGTCTTCCAGAACGGGTTGGAAAGGAAGAGTGAATTAGGTCGTAAGTTTCCTATTTTTTTTCCGGCCCGACCAAATAAGGGGTTATGTCATATTGGTCAGTCTTTCTTCTGCTGATATCTTTAGTGCGATGTTGAATTGCTTAATCTGTTTACTCAATCAGAGCAGAGGATACTAATAAAGTTGCTGAAGAGTTGAAACGGGCTGATGCAGTTGTGCTTACTTATGCATGTAATCAGCCTCAGACACTTGATCGATTGAGTACATTTTGGCTTCCAAAACTTCGTCAACTAGAGGTGTGTGGTTGCTTCTTTTCCTCACTGCACCCATTCATCTCCAAAAGTTTAACACGCGCCTTTTTTCAGACAAAAAGAAGAAAAAAAAACCTGATGAAAGGAAACCTTAATCTTGAAAGTATAATATTCGTTGTGAAAATGAAGCCTAATAATTTCACTGCTTCGATGATCTGTTTGAAAAGTTGTTTGATATGGAGGTTAATGGAGCAACACTTGTCTTGTAGCATGTACTTATGATGGGAAAATGTGAAATTTAATGAGCAGGTAAAGGTACCTGTTATAGTGGTGGGTTGTAAGCTAGATTTGAGAGATGAGAACCAACAGGTAAGCCTCGAACAAGTGATGTCACCAATAATGCAACAGTTTCGGGAGATTGAAACTTGCATTGAATGTTCAGCATATAAACATATTCAGGTATGCAGTAATGACTCCTATTTTTCAAGTTTCCTTTTGTTGGTTAGTATATCAACTTTTTGTGAATTTAACGTGCACCATATGATGTGTTGCATTTATTCATACTTTCCACGCATTTCTATGAACTACCTGTCTGCAACATTCACTAAAAGTCTAAATGTCAGTTAAAATGGCTACAAGAACCTAATGCCATCTTTAGTATATCCTGAATTCAATGTATGATTTTGTTGACCAAAACAATAATTCAATTGATGGTTTTTGTTGCAAGTAGTGTTGTTATTTTGGCATGGACACTAATTCTTGGACTCCATATGATCAATA